CCAAGGGTTCAAGACCAGCCTGGGCAACTTGGCAAGACCTCATCTCTACAATAAATCAAATAATAATAATAATAATTAGCCGGGTGTGATGGCGCATGCCTGTGGTTTCAGCTACTTGGAAGACTGAGGCGGAGGGATCATCTGAGCCCAGCAGGTCGAGGCTGCAGTGGTGGCCGTGATTGTGCCACTGCACTCCAGCCTGGGTAACAGAGTAAGACTATGACTTTCAGTTTTAAGACCTCAGTGATGGGCAGGCTGGTATAATCCTTAACAGCAGGAAGAAAGGTAGAGACCCAAGGGCTTGGTCAACAGGGGGGATGAGGTTGCCTTTGGTGCTGTGGCATATTTGGGTGCTGTCCAGCAGGCAGTTCAAAATGCAAGCCCGGAGCTCAACAGGAGGACTGAAGCTTCAACAGGAGCTCTCAAACTCCTTTCCTCACAGAATCTTTTTTTCCACAGGTTATTTTGTAAACTCTAATTTATGGCTTATAAACCAGACATGAACAGGAATTTGTGATACAGTTCTTTTCTCAGGATTAAAGAAGTCAGAAAGAAAAAGGTCTTAGACAAATTAATTGCTGGGAGAAATGATCAAATTTTGGCCTGCATGTCCTGAAACATTTTATAATCGAAAGAAGTAAACAAATATGGCAGAAATGTGGTGGCTTTGGCGTGTACCTTTGACTGTTGCGGCCCTGGTGTTCATGGCTCATGGAGCTTCCACACATCTGACCCAAAGGAAGAAGGTGTTAGCAAAAAAAGTGGATCAGCTGATGGCCTGGACCAAAGAAAACCGAGTGATAAGAATGAACAAGATTGCATTCTATCATTTTGTATTAGAAACACCGATAAACTACTCTGTTATTGCGCTGTTTACTGGATCGTGTGTAATATGCAAATATGTCGCTGAAGAATTTCAGATCTTGGCAAATTCCAATGCATTCACCAACAAGGTATTTTTTATTATGGTGGATTATAATGAAAGTCCTGAAATCTTTCATTTGATGCATGTGACGATGGTTCCAAATATCTTCCACTTTTCTGCTGAAGATAAATTTACACAAGATGACATTTATCAGTTGGATAACATGAGTATCAGAGCTGAACATATGGCTGAATGGGCAGCAGAGAGAACAAAACTCAACATCAGAGTCAGACAGCCAACTAATTACCATGGTCTCTTCAAGTCGGGGATACTTTTGGCTCTCATTGGTGGAGTTGTGTATTTCTTGAAACGAATTGGGAAACTTACTTTTTGCAGAATTTTGTGGGAATGTTTCATTGTGTGCTTTGTGATTGTGATAGCATCTGGTCAAATGTGGACTCATATAAAGAGAGGACCATATGTTCAAAGGGATCCTAACACAGGACATGTAAGTTATATCAACAGACTTCCTCATTATCAGTTTGCAGCAGAAACATACATCATTTCTCTGCTTAATATGTGCATTACCCTGGGAATGGTGCTATTAGATAAGGCTGCTACCTCCAAGATGAGTATCATAAAGAGGAAGATGGTGTGTCTGACTGGTTTGTGTTTAGTTGCAATATTCTTCAGTTGGCTGCTTTCCCTCTTTAGATTTAAAGTAAAGGGGTATCCATATAGATTTCTTATGGATTAAAATGGATCTTACAAACATAGACCATGAAGTAAGACATGTGCAAAAATATGAAGCAGAAAAGTGTGAACTGATAACTTTTTAAAGTGGTTAAGGTTTGACCAAAAGAGACATGAAATGCCTTGAAAATAATAAACCTTTTGCTCTCAAAATATGTGAAGTATTGTATACTATGTATCTTCTTCTTCTTCTTTTCCGAAAGCAGGATTTACTGGGAGGACAGAAAAGCTTCTACAGTGGGAGAGGACCCAAGGGGGTTGCCCTGTATATTGTGTTCTTAATTTTTTCCCTCCCAGCAAATGTTATAGACTACCTAATTTAGTAAAGTCCAATTATTAAAATCCTTAGAGAGTATAACTTTTATTGAATGAGAACAATGTTTAAAAGTAGTTTAAGCCGGGCTCGGTGGCTCAGCCTGTAATC